AGGAGGGACCGAAGGTCCCGTGTTCCCTGCGGGGGGAAGGGGAAGGTGTTCAGGCGAGATGAGCGGCCGACCAGGGTTCTATTCCTAGCATCCCATATGGTCCCCTGAGCACCGCCAGGAGTAACTTCTGAGTGCAGAGCCAGGAGTAACCCCCGTGCAATGCCAGGTGTGACCCAAAAAGCAAAAATAAAAAAAAAATATTTAAAAAAGAAAGACAGTTTCCCCTACCGGGAAAGTGGACAGAGGGCCAACACATTGGGCAATGATGGGGGTGCTGGGGAGGGGTGAGCCGCTGGGAGCAGGACACCTGGGTTCTCTCAGTGGGCCCAGGAAGGTCTCTGGGAGGCTCTCAGGCTGCTGTCAGGGCCTCCCAGTCCTGCCCTCACAGGGTCTCCAGGCTGAGGGGAGGCCACGCCCACCTTGGTCATCCTTTGGGGACAGACACGTTTCCCTTGTGTCCCCAGGTTGCCAACGTGAGTCAGAGAAATAGGCGCTTTGTTGAGGCCTGAGGGTAGCGGAAGGTTGAGGGGGGCCAACGGGGTGCCGAGGCTGAATGCTAGAGGAGAGGAAGGGAAGGGGCGCTGGCACCTTGGGAGTTATGAGATAAACAACACAGCCAATGACTTTCACCTGGGAGGGCGACAGGGGGACCCTCGAGCTGGGCTGACGCCACATCTCCAGCCTACAGTTCTTCAGGGCTGTGGCTCAGGCAGGACCAGACTCTCCTACCCCGGCTCTCCTGGCACCGGGAGACCAGCTGGAAACTTTCTGAGGCTTTATTAAACAATATTTGTTGAATGAATAAGTACTAAGGGAGAACAGACGGGTATTAACGTGTGATGTCCACAAGGCTTAAAAATAGCCCAGCTCACAGATCCCGGAGCTGGTTTCTGAGTCTGCCCCCGCTGAGGCTTGGCAGGCTCTGACCTGGCCCAGCGCGTGGCTCTGCCTCGCACAGAGTGGCAGCTGGAGGCCCAGTACTGTGGTGCAGGGGTCTGTGGGTCCCTCCTCCCCAAAGGTCACCCAGAGGCCTCCCTCAGCCCCCGCCTTGTCTCCCCTCCCGGCGGCGTCCCAGCCCCCACGTGTCTGGATGTGGATCTGATCCCATTTCTTGGGCTACGTCAGTTCAGGAGGAATCAGAACCAAGCCCGCCCTGCCTACCCGAGTGTCCAGGGTGGGGGTGCAGACCTGGCCGCCCACATTCTGTGCAGGTTGCAGCATGAGCATTAAAGCAGCACCCACAGCTTCAGGTTCAAGAGCCGGCGGCTCTGCTCCCCAGAGCCTGCTTTCCACCTCCGGGGGGCTGTCAACCAAGCCAGAAGCAGGGCCACACTTACCTGGCTGTGCTGTGGAGGCCGCCCAGGTAGGGGAAGCGGCCGCCAACGAGGTGGTTCCCCTCCCCGCACAGGCCCCCTTCTGCATGGGACTTCCAGAGCCGTGTTGTTGCAGGTAATTAAAGGGTTTTAATTAAATTAGGATCCCATCTGGCTGGGATCAGTCAGGCCCTTAACGAGGATGGTGTGTCACCAACATCAGAAAGTAGATGGGGACCCAGGCATGTGGGGCTGAATTTGGGGACTGAAGGCCTTTCAGGTGGGAAGAGAATCCTCCTGAGCCCTCTAGGGCTCTCTGCAATGCGGTGTCCTCCAAGCTCGCCGTGAGGCTAGCCGTAGCGAGGGTGGGGGGACCAGCGCTCTCCCAAGCTCATCCCAGCCAGCGAGTCCCCAGTGCCTCCCTGTCTACAGCTGTCTGTCAGACATGTCGGCCTCTCTGACAGGTGGACTGCATACACGTGTGTAAACATGTCCATTGAATCAGGTAGAGCTCATTTAAATTGCGGGAAATGGAGACCAAAGAGATATTTGATAGAAATAAAGCAGAAATCTGATTTTTCTCTCACATAAGACTCTGGAGATAGGTTGCCTAGGGCTCTTATGATATTTCTCTTCCACAAAAATTTTCTGAAAACTTAAACTTCCTCCAGGTCATTGTTCTGCCCCATGGTCTTAAGAGAGCAACCAGAGCTCCAGCAATCACACACACTATTCCAGGCAGTGGGATGGAGGGTAGAAGAAAGAAGAAGCAAAGGATGCACATGATTTCTCAAGATTTCTGGAAGATTCTAGATAAAATTCTGACTAACATGTCACCAGTCAGATCTTAGTCACATCTCCGTACAAGGAAGGGTGAAAAAAAAAGCATTTATCCCAGGCAGCATGTGCCCTGCTGAAATTTGGGAATATTATGGTACAGTTTTTGTTGGTTAGTTGAGTTTGGGGTCACATTCAACAATGATTAGAGGTTGCTTCCCTGGGTACTGGAGGTTGGGGGGGACCATCCTATGTAAGGGGGTCAAATTAAACCTTGTATATGCAAAGCTTACATTCAGCCTTTTGAGCTATCCCTCCGACCCTCCTAGGACAATTGGCAGTCTCTGGCACAGGATTCTGGGGCAGAACTGGGACGGGAATCCTGCTCTCCTCCTGCAGGGCTCCAAAAACAGAGGAAGAACTTATATTTGTTAATCAAATCCTTTTTTCAATAACACCGATCCTGACTTTTCCACCTAAGGAGGTCCTGGTGATTATGTTTAAGGTCAGACAGGCTGGGATTGAGACCCAGATATTGGAACCCCTGAACCACCGTCTGTCTCCAATTCTCTGGCCCGCTCTGCGCCTTGGGGGGTGCCCGCCTGTCCTTGGGAACTGTCTCATCAGGTGTCTGTAGGATGAAGAGCAGGAGGATTTGAGCGTGGCTGCCTTTGAACTAGCAGCGGCAGAACCCAGCCCCCAGCTGCCGAGAGGGGCCTGGGTGAAGGTGGCAGCTGGCAGTCCAGGTCTTTGGCATCACTTGGCAGGTGCCAATCACCAAGCACAAGGGAAGCCCCTCCTTGCTGGCACCGTGGCCCCCAGCTCTGGCAGTGTCACAGGACTTAGAGGTGGAGGGAATCAGGCCCCCATGCTCAGCCCCACACAGTGAGGGTCTCAGTGCTGCCTCTGACCTGGGGACAGCCCCAGCTCCCGGTCCTGGCCCCTGGCCCCTACGTGCTTCCCCAGCTGCGGGCCTCACGGCACTCCTGCCATGTGCAAGGTCACCGGCTCCGCTGCCAAGGTTGGAGAAGGGGTGACTCAGTTCCCGCTTGCTCATCTAGGAAAGGAGGGTGTCTGGGGCGAGGGTGAAAGGACGACCCAGACATCCGTCTGCTCTCCGCTGAAGCTTTGTCAGGAGGAAGAAGCCATCCTGCTGACTTGAGCTTCACGGGGCACCGAGACCGAGGGGAAGGGCAGGGAGGCCTCCGGGGGTGGCTTGTGCTCCCCTCTGTTGCACCCTCCTCCCAGACTTGCCCTCAGGGAGATGCTGGTCTGATGAGGGGCGTCTAGACTCTGGCCTCAGGGGCTCTCGGTCTGATCGGGAAGGTACAGGTTGTATCTCAAAAAGCCCCTGAAGTTGTCTGGAAGACCGTCCAGCATGGGGGAGACCAGGCCCCTCTCCGGGCAGCCCTCAGTAGGAGATGGTGCGGGACCGTAGGTGGGCAGGGCCAGTGAGTGGGGAGGGGTTGGGGGAGGGGGGACCGCAGCTTCTCTAAGAGGGACCGGGCTCTTAGTGTGCTCTGTGGGGTTTGAAGAGGGAGGTCAGTGCTTAGCAGGGCTGGGGGTCCCTTGGTGGGGGAGCGGAGTCACTGCCCCCGAGAGGCAGAGGGTGGCACTCCATGACCTGACGGGCGGAAGGACATTTCCCTGGGAAGAAGCAACAGGCGTGGGCAGGCCTCAGGTTTTCAGGGCACAAAGGTGACTGGGGTGGTGGGGGGTGGCACAGGGGGTGGCACAGGGGGTGGCAAGTGAGCAGCGGGCGCAGGAGAAGGTGCAAAGGGAACGGGCAGAGGCGTGCGTGAGGGGAGTGGAGTTATGGCCCAGCCGCGCGGGGCTGCATGCCAGGCGGGCAGACCTCCAGCTGTCGCAGCATCTGGCTCTCCACGGGAGGAGTATGCCGGAGCAGGGTGCGTGCCCACCCCCTGCAGACAGGCCATGGCCTTCCCCCTCTGCAGGCCAGGCCCTACAGAGGGGTCTGGAGACAGCGCCCCAGCCCGCAGCACCCCTCCCCGGCAGGCCTGCATCCCTAGTGGGGCGAGAGGCTGGGAAGAGAGGACCCCACCCCTGTGCTTGGGAGAGAAGGTCCAGCCAGAAGGGGCTCAGCTCTAGCCCCCCACCAGCCCTCTGACTGCAGGGCGGTTGCTGAGCCCAGCCCGCAGGGTGAGGGGCTGGCACTGGGCCTGGTGGGCAGGGCAGGGACACCCCCAGTCTCCTTCGAGGAGGACTCCTGGGGTCTCCGGGCCAGGGGGTGCCCCGCCCAGAGTTTGTCTGCAATGACCTCCAGCAAGGGCACTTCGACCTTGGGGGCGGGGCCCAGCCTTCCCTCACTGAGCCCCGAAGTCACATTAGCAGGGCACCACCTGCTAGCATGTCCAAGTGCTGGGCCAGAGGAGGGTCCCCTCATGCCCTGCTCCCAGGCCTGGGAGAGCCAGCGCTCCACCCCCGTTCTCTGAAGGGGGTTCCCCAGGGGCACATGGGGAGTACCTCAGCGCAGGTTCCGAGCCAGAGACCATTAGGAGTGCGTGACCGAGTGGCTCTGAGCTCCTGGAGAAGGACAAAGTATAGAGACTGGTTGGGCCCCAGAGACGTGCCTTTGGGTCCCTCGGGACTCAGACTCACTCACTGCACAGCCCCGGGGAGTGAGCGCAGCTTCCAAGGAACTGCAAAGAGTCCCCGGCAGCCTAGCCACGGGGCAAGATCCCAAGAGAGTCGGGGATCCCCCACCAGCTCCACCCGGGGTGATCCCTGTGGTCGCCATCAATCCTTATGCACCCCCAGCTTCTCCCTGCACCCCAGCACAGGACCCACCTGGCTATGCCCCGGCCGGAAGCGCCCCCAGAAACCAGTTTATGTCCCTGTGTCCTGAGAAAGGTCGCCCGGGTGGAGTCCCCCACACCACACAGAGCCCAGTGCCCGGGCAAGCTTTATTCCCACGCCCAGCACGAGATCCCGCGTACACACACGCACACAAGGGTGACATTCAGGTGACTTCACAAGCCCGTCCCCCCCGCCCCCCTCCACAGACAGATACCACAGAACAGAGCAGCGCACCCCTCAGCGCTGGCCTCCCCCGCCCAGCTGTGAGGGCCCTAGGCGGTCCCCGGGCCAGGGGGTGGGGGTGGGGGAGCTCAGGACACCGCTGGGGTGAGGCTGGTCAGCGGGACGAGGACACACCAACGGGATGGGGTGGAAGAGGGACACCAGCAGGCAGGGGCACGGGTGCAGGGACAGGCCCCTCACACGAAGGACGGTGTCTCCTCAGCATAAGTGTGGGCACAGGTTGTCGGGGTGAGGGCAGGAGAGGGAACTCCGGAAGGGGGTGCCCTGGCTGGGGACAGGTGGTCTGTTGGTGAAAACCGCAGGTTCCCAGGGTCACTGCTTGAGCTTCAAGCAGGGTCCAAGCCTCAGGCGGGGCTGGAGGCTCCGGGCTGCCCTGGAGGGGGCTGGAGAGTGGCCGCTGTACCCTGCCGGGCTGGCTCGCAGAAAGCCCCTGTTAGCCAGCTCCTCTGTCCTGTCCTTCCTCAGAGGGACAGGGAGGGAGCCAGATTCCTCCCCCAAGACTTAATCTGCAACCTTCTGCTCCGGTGCAGGGGAGGGGTGGGGAGGGCTGGTTCCCCCAGGCGCTGCAGGGAGCCTCCCCGGGGTCCCGCTCCCGTGCCTGGCCCTTCCTCAGCCCACGGCCAGCCCTTGGGACCCTCTTCCTGGCCCCCCTCGGCCTCTCCTCCTCCTCCTCCTCCTCCTCCTCCTCTTCTGCACCCCCTTCCTGCCCTGCCCAGCGTCCAGCCGGGGGACCTCCTGTGGGGCAGCCTGGCTGGGGTCAGCCGGACGGGTAGTAGGGGGAGTCGCTGTGGTAGTTGTAGTCGGGACACACCTTCTGCACCAGCCGATAGTCCGTGCTATAGAAGGCGATGTAGACGCAGACGACCTTGAAGGGCTGGGAGCAGCTCCAGGTGGCCGAGCTCTGCGCGTGGTCCCGGGAGCAGATCTTGGCGGGGTCGTGCGTGCACAGGGCCGTGCGCCGGCCCCGCTCCACCTTCTCCCACTCCATCCGGCAGTTGAAGATCTTGGAGGCCTTGGCTTCGATGAAGATCTGCTGCTCCTGGTGGAATTCGACGGCCTTACTGGGGGGCACGAGGCTGATGGAGATGTTGCCCTGGCCCGTGGCGTTGTGCCGGAAGTGGACGCTGAAGGTCCCGTTGCCGTGGTCCACAATCTTGCCTGTGACCAGCAGGTTCAGGGCAACCGTCTTGATGTTGGAGTAGAAGTCGCCCCAGCCAAAGATTTTCTTCACCTTGGCCGAGGGTGGGGAGCTCTGGCTCAGGCGGTTGGGGGGCTGCCCGGGGCCCCCCCATGCCTCCCCGGGTGGTGCCAGCAGCCCCTGCAGGGTGGCGTTGGCCATGGAGCGGGACCTGGGTGAGAGGTGGCCGCGCTTCCGGGGCATCCGGGCCCGAGGCTGGCTCTTGTGATCATCATGCTCAGGGTCTTCGGAGCCAGGGGGACCGTCTTCCTGGCCACAGATGACCTAGGGCGGTGGAGGTGGGAGAGAGTGAGGCCTCTGGGGCCAGGAGCGGCCCTCTCTGATACATGCCACTACATGTGCAGGAGGACCATGTCCATCCCGGCCCCTGTCAACTCATGCTCTGATCCTGGGAGCCCCACCCCCCAACACCCCTCCAGGTCCTGCCATGGTCACTGTCCAACATCTGCAAGGAGAGCACAGTATCCCCCCGGGGACCAGGCACCAGGCACCCTGTCAGATGGAAGAGGTCCAGCTTCTGATCCGGGTCTGATGGCAGAAGGGGATGCCTCTGTTAGCAGAGTCCCCACCCAAAATTGCCAGCCTGATGGGGGAGGCCCAGCCTATGTCCTCACAGAGCCCCGAGTTGGGCAGGGTCCCTCCACCCTCAGCTCTCACCAGTCTCCGCGGGCAGGGGGGAAGCGTGTCCTTGTCTGCCTGGGTTCTGGGGTCCAAGAGCAGTTTAGTGGGGACCGGGATTGGGGGGCACAGCCAGGGTGGCTGAGAGTGGAGAAAGTCAACCCCGAGGATCTGGGAGACACAGATGGTAACAAGCCAGGACCCAGTTTGCACCTGGTGGTGGGAGTTCACCCTGTCCTGTGTCAGGGATGGACGGGGACACAGACTCAGCTGCACGTGCTGGGGGCCCCCAGCGCTGCCATGTCCTCCCTGAGGAAAGTCTTGCTGCCCGGGCTCTCTTCAAGCCTAGTGCCCACCCTGCGCCAAGGCTGCCTGGGACACCGGGGCCATCTGGGTCCCCTGGGCAGGAGGTGGCAGTCCAGGTGGGGTGACGGGTTGGGGGGGGTCCCCAGGGTCTGCCACCCCAGGACCTAGGCACCAGCTAGAGCAGGGACCGCCGCTCAGGATGAGCTGGTGACCGCGGGAAGTAGAAGGGTGTGGAGGTGTCTGGATGGCCCCAAAGGGGTGCAGGGCAGCCAGGCAGGGATGGGGTGGGGGCTGCAGTGTCCTGCCGGCTCCTGGGGGTGTGTGTGTGTGTGCATCTGTGGGTCTGTGTCTGTGTGTGCGTCTGTGTGTGTGTGTGCATGTGTGTGCGTGTGTGCGCGTGCAGGCACGGCCAGAGGGAAGAGAGATCCCGGGCTGCGTTCAAAGCAGGGACCCAGCGTCCTCTGGCCCGGGGTCACGGCCGCAGGCGGGAGGGACAAGGGTCCTCGCAGGCTGTGGTGGCCGAGCGTGTCTGGGTCTGGGTGGCTGGCGGAAGGAGCGGGTGCAGCTGCGAGGCTCAGGGTCCCCGGCGGCAGGAGGGCGGGGGGCGGCGGGCCGAGGGGAGCCGGCCCGGGTGGGGCCCGGGGCGGCGGGAGTCGGGGCGCCCGGGGCGGGAGCCGCCGGCCCCGGTCCTGTGGGGCTCGGGCCGCGCGCGGCCGGGAGAGGAAAACAACAGGCGGGGAGGGAGGGAGCGGGAGGGCGGGCGCCGCGAAGGACGCGGGGCCGGCGCGCGGGGGTCCCCGAGGTCAGGGGCAGCCGGGGTCCCGCGGCGCGTCCCGGGGCGCCGCCGGCCGGCTCCCGCCACCTGCGGCCGAGTGGGTGGTCCGGCCGCGCACCCGCCCCCGTTAACCCCTTCCCGACGGTGTCCGGCCGCGGACCCGCCCGCGCCCGGCCGCCGGGCTGCCCCTGCGTCCCGCGATGTCGCGGGGGTGGGCAGGGAGAAAGTTTCCGGGCCGGGAAGCTGCCCGCGCGCTCCCCCGGCGCCCCCCGGAGCAGCTCCCCGCGGACCACTCACCAGATACAGGCTGCCCTGCACGAGGAACACGAAGCAGCAGCGGCTCAGTTGCATCTTCCCGCTGCTCCCGCCGCGCGGGGGTCCCCGGCCCCGTCAGGCGCGCCCACCCATGCTCCGGTCCCCGGCCGGCCCCGCCCCCCTCGGTCCCGCCGGGCCGCCGCCGCCGCGCGCCGCTCCCGGGCCGCCCCCACCCGCGACGGGCGCCCCGCGCGCCTCGAGGGGCCCCAGCTGCGCCCGGCCGCGGCGCCCGCCCAGATGTGCCGCGCGGCCGCCTCCCGAGCGCGCGGCCCCTCCCGCCCCGGCGCGGCGCGCCCCCTGGCGGACGCCCCCGGCCGCGCCCGGCCCCGCGCCCGCTCGCCGCGCGGCACCCGCCAGACTGGAGCGCTCCTGGCGCCCGGGCGCCTCCCGCGTCCTCGGCCCTCCCACCCGCGCGGCGGCGGCGGCGGCGGCAGGTACTGGGAGCCCAGCCGGTACCTCCGCAGTTAACTCCTGCCCTGCCGGCCCGCAGCCCGGGGGCCCCGGACCCGGGGCCAGGGCTGGCCCGGAGGGCGTCTGCGGCGAGGCGCTGTCCGCCCCGATCCCCGACGCCCGCCTCCCCGCGGGACACGCTTGGGGGTTCCTGCCGCCCTGCCCGGCCCCTCGGGAGGCTTGGGGCTTGGGCCGCCTTTCCCCCCAGCCCCTTTCGGGGAGCGGAAAAGGCCCCCGATGAGGCTGCGGGCTCTGACTTGGCTTCTCGGCCGCGGAAGTGTTTCCAGGAGTCTGACCGCTGGCCCTGGTGTCCTCGCCACCTCTCTCGGGCTCGGGCGGGAGGGAGGGGGGAACAACCTCCGCCCCATCCCCGCCCCTGCACCCCTTCTCTGTCCCATCACAGCGGCTGGAAACTTCCTAGTGCAAAGCCCCCTAAGGACCAGGCTGGGTTTGGGATGGAGAGTGCAGGAACCTCCTGGGAATCTGGGGGCCACCCGTCTCCCCCACCTTTTCTCAGGACAAATCCTCTCTGGGATGCCCGATTCCCCAGGTTGCTATCGCCACGGAGGCTCCCGTCTCAGAGGAATTCCTGCTGCTCCAGGGTCTCTGCGGACCCTCTGCAGACAGAGGGAGAACAGGACCTGGTTTGGGCTTCCCCAAATAGGGGACCCATCCTTCTCCCCAACCCAAGCCGTCTCTCCATCTCCATCTTCCTCCTGTAATTCCAGGCCCCATTGGTCTTCAACAGAACCAAAGGTCGAGTCCTTGGGAGGCCAGAGGGTGAGGAGGCCCCCCAGCCTGCGCTGGGGTGTGTGGTGAGCGGGTGGGCTCTCTGCTCTGTGGCCCTCGAGGCCCCGTCGGTCTCGGCGGCAGCCACCAGCGAGCACCCAGCCTCCTCCCCCACCATCTGCCAGGCGGGTGCATGGGGAATGCAGATGAATGTTAATATCAGCCTGGGCCAAGTGTGAGGAGGGAGACAGACTGCAGGGCCCAGACAGCATCGCTCACGGAGCCCCCTGCCTTCCCCAGGTACCCTGGGTTCTGCCAGGATGCAGCAGACCCTGCCCGCCGGGGTGGGGAGGGGAGGGGCACTTGGCCCATCAAGGACCCCCAAAGCCAGGGCAGGAAGGAGCAGCCTCATCTTCCCCTGGTCAGAGCCTCTGGTCCGGCGGGGAGTCTGAGCATGGCAGCTGGTCCAGCGCTCATATGGCGCAGGCAGGGCCGTGCCCATTCCTGTCCATCTCGGAAGGTCCTGTCCCAGGAGAGCCCTGTGGCCCTGCAGAAGAGCCTGGTTTTTCAGGCCAGACAGTCCCCAGTTCCACGCCAGGCGGGCCGTGTGACCTTGGGCTGGTTGCTTCGGTTCTCTGGTGCCGGCACCCTCATCTGTGATGGCAGCAGCCAGGAAGACCAAACGCAAACACCGGCGGGCACGGCGGCTGGCGGGCAGCCGTGGGAGGGCGATGAAGGGAAGTTCTCACTTTTTCTGCTTCCCACACGTTTGCTCTGGAGGCGCCTCTCGCCAGGCCTGCCCTGACTGCCCTCCCCGCCACCCCCAACTCTCACTTCCTGCAGGATCCCCCCTCAGCGTCCATCCATCACGCACTGGTCAAGCCTGTCCCGGGAGCCAGGCACCGGGCCAGGGGCTGGGATGGAGACAAATGGGACTGTCCCTGCCCTCAAGGATCTTGCTGGCTAGGGCGGCATAGAGATGTGGAAATCGATGGCTGTAACTCAGTGCAAGGACAGATGCCGCACCTGACATCATGGGTGCTCCGTGGACGCTTGAGTGGACCGCAGGAGGGTCCGGGAAGGCTTTCTGAGGAAGCTGGTGGCAAAGTCCCTGTCTCTGAGGCCTGAGCAGTTTGCTGGTCCTGGGAAGAGGAGGGGGAGGAGGGAGAGCTGGCCAGGGGCCGGGACAGCACGCAGGGCTCGGCCTGTCTGGTCAAGGGCGGAGGCGCCTTGCTCCTGAGGACCCTTTGAAAGGCTTTCAGGAGGGGCCAAGGATGCATTTTAGAAAAGCTCCTGAAGGATGGGGAGGGGGTGGGGGGAAACAGAGAGGCTGAAGGGGGCAACCAATCAGGAGAGAGACGGGTGCTGGGTGGGGGGATCCCACCGGAGAGCCAAGCTCTGTCTCTGACTGAGACCAGGGAGGAAAGGCAAAAGGGGCTCAGACGGGTTCCCCAAGTTCCTGGGCAACAGGCAGGGGGCTTCTGAGTAGGGGGCTCAAGGAAGAGGGTGGTGGGCTCAGCCTCGGCCTCCCCAGGCAGAAGAAAGCTACATCTGAAGCGGCCGCTAGTAACGGAGGGGGTTCTCAGATGGGGGTGTCCTCAGCATCCTAGAAGTCAAGGACAGACAGAGGAAGAGGAAGAGCCACCCCAAAGATGCTGGGGCTGGCCCTGGGGGTAATGGGGTGATTGGATGGGGGGCACACACAGACACCGCCCTCTGGATCATGGTGGCAGCTGGGACCCAGGGCTTTTTGTGTCCTGCCCCTTGGCCATGCCCAGGAAAGAGGCGTCTGCCCTTCACTTAGATAAACTCTGGTGTGGGGCACCCCCTGGTGGGGGTGCCCAGGAAGAAGAACCACACAGCCCAGCAGCCTCAGATCAAAAAGCGATTGGGGGCTTTGGCGGAGATCCTCCAGCGACTGGCTCCACCCTGGGGCTCCCTGGGTGGGAAGGCGACACAGTGAGTCCAGGGCACAGCTCTGCTGGAGTCACGCCACCACCCAGGTTCCCTCCTGGGGCCCTGCCGGGGCCCCGGCTCCCAGCAGCGACCCATGGAGGAGACTGACCCTGCACCGGTCCTGCTCGGCTGCCCGGAGACCCCTGCGCCCGCCCTCAGGCACCCCATGTCTGTCTGACATGGGGCTGCTTCTGGCTCAGCTGCTGTCACCTGTTTCCATCACCCCTCAGAACAATCCTGCCCATCTCCCTCTCTCCCTCCCTCCCTCCCTCCCTCCCTCCTGATCCTCCCTCCCTGCTGCAGGAAAGAAAACCAAGCGGTGGGCGCCTGCTTGCTTATTGAATGAATGGGAAATGGGGTTCCTGATGGTTTGAAAGGCAGAGAATGCCCTTGAGCCAGCCGGAGCACAGAGGTCCAGGGAAGAGGCAGGAGCGATCGTTATTGTTAATAACCTCTCGTGTTTACCTGGTAATTTGTGATTTTTAAAGAGTTATGCCAGAGCTGCGGGTGGGGGACCGGGAGGCCGGAGGGAAGCCCTAATTCAGATGGGGGGGGCAGAGACGAGCCCCGGAGAGAGTAGTCTTGTGATATGTGGATCAGTCCAGGTTGGGGTGGCTGGGGAGGGAGGGAGAGAACCTTCTAGGCTGAGGAAGCAACTCATGCAAAGGCCGGAGATGAAAGCAAGTCTGGGAATGGGGCTCTGATGAGGACGAGATGAAAGAATCATTTGTTCCACAAATAGTCGTGGAGTGTCTACTTTTATGTCAGGCTCTGGGCGGGGTGGGGGGTGTACGGCTGCTAGGGGAGAGACTCCTTGTCGTGGAGAATTTGGGCTATGGAGGGGATCCGGGCCGTTGCTGGTCAGCACTGGAGACCCAGAGAGAAATGGGAGAGGCTTAGCTGGGGTCAGGACAGGGCTGGGAGACGCAGCCTCCGCTGGAGATCAAGGGAAACTGAGGCTGCCTGCTGGGACTCTGCCACAAGCAAGAGTTGGAGGAGCGGGAGGAAGTGAGTGTCGTTGGAGGGATGAGGTGGAAGGGTGTGGGAGGTGAGACCAACAGGGAGGTGAGCAGGGCTACGGCCCAGGGCTTGAAGCGGCTAGTTAAATGTGTTGAGTTCCTGGCCTGGGATACAGCTGAGAGGGCTGGAGCCTATGCAGGACCCTCTGGGCGGGCTCCGGTACTGCATGCACATGAAGGCATGTGTGCACACACACATATGCATACAACCCCCCCCCCACACACACACATGTGCACACCCTCCACCCGCCCCTCCATATACACAGCTTCCCCACATACACACACACCTGTTTCCCCTGGAGGGTCCCAGCACCAGCAATTCAAGCAGTACCCATGGCCAGGCTTGCGTGCCAGTGGACTAGTACCTCAGGAGTAGCCCCCCCCCAAAAAAAGGTACTGGGTTCTTTAATCATCCTGTAATTAAAATGTTTTTGTTTTTCCTTATAAGTTTTATTTATTTATATATTTATTTTTGGCTTTTTGGGTCACACCCAGCGATGCTCAGGGGTTACTCCTGGCTCTGCACTAAGGAATCACTCCTGGTGGTGCTCTGGTGGGGACCATATGGGATGCCGAGGATCGAACCCAGGTTGTCTGCATGCAAGGCAAACACCCTCCCTGCTGTGCTATCACCCCAGCCCCTCCTTGTAAGTTTTAATTTACAAGGATCCTTCCTTTTGGTTGAGGCCATGGTCACCCATACTTGGTTGTGATGCTCACTGACAGGCCTCCCATGCCTTTGCCCTCCCGCTTGCTGGGGTCTCGTCTCACGCGTTGGTTGTGTTTGCACACACCTGCCTGCCAGGTGCTGGAGATGACGCACTTTGCTGTGGCCCTGGGCTCCCAGACAGCTGTGATCCCAGCATGACGCTCTCAGTTCCGGGGATCAAACTCCTGACTTCATTCTCGCGAGACAGGCTCATGGTGGGTCAGTCATGCTGGGAACCCCATCGCAGGTTTGAAATAGGCATGAGGGTTCCACGGTGGAACAATTGGGAGGTTGATCCATCGTCCACAAGCAGAAAGTGA